AACTCCGCAATCATGGAAGAGATTCCGAATCCACGAAACGGCGGTATTTCCATGTTTATTGTACAAATTGATGACTTCTTGCTTGATGATCTCTTCAGCATTTGGACAGCTTTGTTCATAGTAGTTTAATTGAAGATCACTTTGGCCTGTATTAATTTGTCCCCTCTTACTAAGACTGTAACTGGAAAAAAAAACAAAACAAAAAAAACAAAAAAACCTACTTTCCCCCAATATTAGGGTCCTTCTAAATCCAATAACTAGTATTTTAGTATTTTACGGTCTACTTATATACTATAAACTACAAAACATTTTTATAATAAATTAAAGATATAAGAAAGCAATACCAGAATAGAACTGTAGGAGCAACGGTAATAACAGAAAGAGACATGTGGTGGAGCACAGGTTTTGCTTTTGCCTTCTGGGGGTGGCCATGTTTAACCTCATTTTGCCTTCTCTATGTGTTCCAGTTGAGGAAATTTTCTCACCTTATATAGAAATTCGGCTAAAGTATACCATTGGCCCCTCACTTTATTAAATTTAAAACTGTTAACATTTTACCTTATAATATGAAGTTTTTAGTTTTTAAACTTAAAAGTTTAAAAATTTTAACTCATTGACTAATGGACATCATTAACTCTCCATTAAAATAATAATAGAATATTTACAAGATCAATCTTTAAAAATTAAAAATATAATAATTTAGTTTCATAAGTTTAAAATTTTAAAAAAATTAGTAAATTAAAAATAATTAGTATATGTCTTTGTCACATACATGAGAACAATATTAGATATCTCAAATAATATTTAAAATAAAGTTGAGTAATTAATTCAATCTAAATAAAAAATTTTGACTAAGATTAAAGAAAATTTATTAACTATATTCTTTTAATCCCTTAGAATTTTTGTCTTAATTCAGTTAAGAAATTTTTTTTTAATCTCAGTTGAGAATTACTTCTTCAAATTGTGTTACTCATTTGATTTATTATAGATTTCTAATATTGTTCTAGTGTGTGTGGAAAAGTCATTTGTTAATTTCTTTTAATTTTTTAATTTTTTAAAATTTTAAACTTTTGAAACTAAATTATTATATTTTTAATTATTGTTATACTTTAATTTTTGGGAACTAATCTTATAAATATTTTATTATTATTTTAATGAAGAGTTAACTGTTTTAGTTAGTTAAAGAGTTAAAATCTTCAAATTTTTAAATTTGAAAGCTAAAAACTTTATATTATAAGGTAAAAAATTAAAAATTTTGAATTTAATAAAATAAAGGATGAAGATATGATTTAGCCTAGAAATTCTTGGAAGTGCAAGCGTGCAATATATCAAATCCAAAGCATGAAGCTAGCCGTCTCCACTAGCTCACTTTCTTTGACCTTTCGGCCGGTTTTGTACTAGCACGCTGGCGCGGTCGTGACTGTCACTAGAAGGATCTATACCAATATTACTAGAAAATTGATGCACATAATCTTGACTTGCAATATTTTAATATTAACAGAAAAGTGATGCATATAATCTTGTTTTACAATATAACATCTTAATTATATGTGATAATCAATTTATTAGATATTATGTGATTACAATTAATTTTAATCATGAGATAAGATTATGTTTATCATTTTTATGTCAACTATTAAATGTATATTCGTAGTGATTATTATGTAATTATTGAGATTATTATTAAGCTTTTATTTAGAATGTTCCATTGAAATTGTGATTCATTAATTCTCAGTGATAAGATTACAATTATGAGAATAGAGAAGAAATAGTTTGATTATCAGAAGTCTGGGATCACTGGAAAAATGTAAACCTCAGAATATGGAGTGCCATCCTTGTCAACACTCATTGATAAAATCCAAGTGGAATTACCTTTATTGTCATATAAAAAATACTTTACACTAAATTCTGCACCACACAGTAAGTAGGATTAGATTAAATATTAGTGTCAGGGGGTCCAATGTGGTGGGGTTTTAGTTGAAACTGATTGGGAGCCCATCATCGGATTTAACTAGTTATTACCCTATTAAATAGCAGCATTACAAGGACAATGCCACGCACTTGAATCACATACTCCATTGTTGAAGGCAAGATTCAAATTCCATTACACTAGCTCTACCAATCAGTACCTTCAAATGTTAGAGGTTCACATTTAAGTGTCGATCGGGTCTCTTATTAGAGTTGTACAATAAGATTAAAATAAATATATACTGGTAGGTCTATTGACCTAATTAATTAATTTTATAATTGTATTGAGTATCATTGAAGCTTTCTTTGCAAAACATTTTTTAGCAATTTTTAAATGAAGCTTGTATTGATAAGAGATGAAATCAAACATTACACAAATTGTAAAGATATACAAGTTTGATATGACCTGAAAATTATCATTGGGCCACTAATGCAATTATCAAAAAAGCAAAGTCTTTTGATAAACATGCTATTTTATTGGTGAGAATAATGATATTCCTATTTTTAATAAAAAAAATTGTTATATGCTTTCTTTGCATGGGGTGGCAACCCCTTTTTTTTTTATTGAACCAAAAAAGAAAAAATTATAAAAGAAGGAAGATCAACAAGAGGAAAATTCAGAATTGATGACCAATTATAGTAAGGATAGGCACTAGCATTCAAACCTCGCAAAATAATTGAGTTTATTCATTTTACCTTAGAACTCAAGGATATGGAGGTAGGAGCCTAAAAACAGATCATGTTCAATTAAGGTTGTTTATTTGAATTTGACCAAAAAGATCCACAAAAACAACCATTTGAGAAAATTAATTAATTAATTAATTAATTAATTAATTAATTATATATATAATTAATTAATATATATATAAAGAAGTGAGCCAACGGTTTCTTGAAACTAAGTTTGTAGTTTTGGAAGCCCATTGAACCTTTTGTTGAAGATATATTTCAATTTGACGCTATTGTTGGTTTTTTTCTTTTTTTTTTTAAATGAACGTATTTGTGTGTGTGCGTATGTGTGTATATATATATATGAATTTTTTAAAATAAAATGCAATCAAAATCTTATTCGAGGTCACTAAATGGTTAAAGTTGCCTACTAAAAAATAATTTCTTTGAAAGAAAGCAATTTTGATGATGTACAATGCCAATTTTCTATATAAATTATCTTCTTTTTTTTGAACAACGGAAATCATAAGAAACGAAAAAAATATCATTGCTATCCCTATAAAGACTTAAACTTTGGTATGAGTCAATTTTTACTGCATGTTGTTAACCCACTTGGGGCTGCCATATTTCCGACTTATGCAAAGATCATGTTCTTATTTCTAAATAATGCAAAGAACTTATCCTCATTTCAAAACAATTAAAGTTTGTTCTCTCATATTAGTTTAGTTAAAATTCGTGTCCTTAATCTTGGGCTTTGCCCTTTTTTGAAGGGGGAAATAAAGAAACGCTATGTTGCTCCATGTGTAATTATCCAAAGTCACATGATTATACATGCATGTTCACATGAGATAACATCGTCATCTGGCTTCAAAAAAATAATAATGGTAATAAGAAGAAGAGCAAATGGAAAATTCAGCTTCAAAGCACATGGAGACAAAAACATAAATGATGGTGTCAGTTGTCATGGGACTCTTGGCTGCTGTAATAAGCCATCTTCCTAGTTTTCATTTGTTTCACAGCCCACTACATGGTAGGACCCCTCATTTCTTTTTGTTGCCTTATATTTTCCACTTTCATAGTACATATATCACACAACAAAACAGGAAAGACAACAATGTTCACCTTCATCTAACACAAAAAAGTTGTCGAACAAGTGACAAAAAGAGCTGCTTAGCTCTTCTTTGTTGATGGTAAAAGACTATTTACAATTGATACTCGAAAACATTCCCAAAGATTGACTGTTTGTTTATTGGGAAAATTTTGGGGTTTAGGATTCCTGCTGAATTTCCGATGCAATAGTTCTAGCCCAGAACCTAAGATGTTTCTTCATATCAGAAGTTGCGGACTCTCTTGGCAACTTCAGATTCAATAAAAGAGAATTGGATCTCTTTATTAGCCAAGCTTCTGATAAGTATGGTCTCGTTACACCTCCTTCCTCTTCCTCCTATTTAGTATCATCTTCATCATCCTTTTTAGCTTGTTCTGTGTTAGTATCATTGTTTATATGAAATCCAAGTCTCTGAAGGCCTGGGATTACACTCATTATTCTCCCGTTCAAGTGTTCTTTCTTGAATATGAAGCCAAGATCTATGAACCCATTTACTTCTTCCAGTTCCAAATCTCTCAAGCTCCTACAACTCATTGATTTTTGCAGTTTAGTCTTTGAATTACTTGAGTATCTATGATTTTTCTGATGTTTTTGTGTTGATGGTGAAAAAGAAAGCAACCGATTCCTACTTGTCCCAATGCTCAATCTCCTTGGCCTTTTCTTTTCCTTGATGACTGAATCTTCCTTACTAGAATCATCCATGATGTTGCACCATAGAACAACAAAATTAGTAGAAGAAGGAAACAAAGAAAGTTAAACAAAGTAATAAGCTATATATTTGTTTTTGTTACCAGCGATGAATTCCCTAAGCTAACATCTTCTTCAAGCAATGAAATAGTTTTTGAAATTTCTACTTCAGGAAGAGATGATACACAGATGCTTGGTGATGGACTTAAAAGCTTGTTCTGGGGTTCAAGGGTTTTTGTTTTTGTGACATCCTGTGAAGTGGATTCTGGGAACAGAACAATTTCGTGAAACCAAAGACAATTCGTGGTTCCAAGGATACTTATGTCTACCATTGATGGAGAGGGAAAAGAGAGAAGGGGAAAGAATTAGGGGACAAGGGACTATTGAAAATTCAGGGGGGGATTTGTGGTGGTAGAGAAATAATAAGTAAAAGGCTAAAAGTAAAAGAATATTGAAAGTGGTGGAACTAGAACCATGGACAAAGAAGAATGTGGTCTCCACAATGGATTCATCCAACTCCACATCTTTTTACACGCTAAATCACTATCTTGGCCCTACCTCTAATGTGGATGCCATTTCTTAGACCCTTTCAATATGTACAATCTCACATAAAAAACAGAAATACCATTTTTTTTAAGAGGCATTTATACAAACACTTAGGTAGCATGATGTTCTCTAACTGGATATGGATTCCTATACTACGCAATCTACTCTCTCCTCAATGCAGGCAATTCTATCTTAACAAGGTGGGATGGTGCTAAAGATGAGGCTGCAGCCTCTTCTTTCACTGTCTGATCTTGTTCCCCAGTGATTTCTCCTCTATTACCCCTTCTTGAATTCCAGTCAGTGGACAAAGAAGTCCGAGCAGATTGGAGAAATTGTTCTTGTTTCTTCCTTCTCTCCCTTACCCCTGCATGCCATTCCTTGATTATTTTGGCCATCTTCTCGTCTAGTACTTTGTCCTTGAATTCTGAACCCATCTATTAAAAAAACAAGAGCATAGTTAATTGAATCCTTTTTAACCCTTAATGAATCAACGCATTGGAAGAATCATTAAGGATATATCAATACTTTTTACAGCTCAAATTGTTTGCAGTTCAAACTGAAAATTTGCATTTTTCTTGTTGAAAGAAGAAGGATGTTCATGTTTTATTTTTAATTTTTTTGCTGTAAAAACCCATGAATCAAGTTTACTCACCTGTGTCACTAGGGCATACAGGGGAAGAGTAATGTAGCTGCAAAGGACTTGAATTGTAACCCTGCAGCATGCAACCAAATTAAAATTATTGCACTTAACCAAATAAGTTAAGATAGATAATGAAGTGATCATAGTCAAAATCCTTACGCTAATACGATCCTTGTGATCATTATGGCAATGTGCTCATGATAGCAAGAATCAAATCCAAATTGTATCTAACACGAGAAATTATTAGAGTATAAAAGATTAGTACTACAGAAAAGACTCTGCACGAACTGTACTTCATCTAAACATTAATGGAGGGGCAGACCCTAATATTGGGGCCCATCCCTCTATCAATGGTTAAAAATAATGCAATGCGTGCAGCGTGAACTACATTACAGCACTCTCTTAATGCAATTCTTTATTCTTTGCCTGAGTGCTTAAAATTTTAACACGGAGTTTAGATGGAATAAACTAACCGTAACCCAGATGAAGAAAGCGAGCTCAAATGCATTCTGAAAAGTTAATTTTAGCATTTTTTAGTCCAATATTCAGTATTCATTAGAAGAACTAATTTGCTTGTTTCAATTTGTTAGGGGGAGTTGATTTTACCATAAACAATGTATAATGCAGGAGAGTCAGAACAAATCTTGGTTTACCGAACCAGAAGAGTTTATCATTTGGTTGAACAAGAGGGGTTCCTCTAGTAATGCCGTTTTGATTGCTGATTTGAATAGCCATTCTCGTAACAATCACTTGCAGTTTTGTCCCCAGAACAAGGACTATCTGCATATCAGGTGGAAATGTAATAGAATTCAGCTAAGAGAGTGATGTTTTGCAATCTGACAAACATCGTGGCCTTGGGATAAGTGGGACTCACGTTAGGTCTCACTCATCTAAAGGCTTAAATTTGACAGTCTAGGATAGGCCGAACTGGAAAAATTAATTTTGTTCTGTTCAGCTAAAGACCAGTGTCTCATTTGGTTATGGAAAGATAACTTGCTGGCAGAAAGTTACAATGCAGCAACATTATGCTTACCAAGAGAGGAACATGAGACAGCCAGAGATACGTATGCCAACCTGATTCATGTCAAAAAATGGAAAAACTAAGAAAAGGAAACACTATTAAGATGGATTTTTGTGGAAGAAGAAATACCGTGCACGTCTAAAAGCATGAAGATAACAAGAAGTAACCACATAAGGGGGCTGCAGAGATGAAATTTCCGAGGTTTAGAAATATTACAGGTACTGGATTCAGGAAGAAGTAATGAAGTTGGTGGAAATTTGAATAAACCTGATGCTGACGACGACCTTGAAATCTTCATCCAGGGATCGCTGTATGTATTTTTGGAAATCGAAATGACTGAACATGCTAGACAAGTGAGCCTGTAACATTTATGATTCAATCAACTTTTGCATTGAGAACTAAGATGGCAATCAATTAAAGTTCTTAAAGATTGAAGAAAATTACCGAGATGAAGCCATGCCTTAGAGTGAGATAATCTACTTTGGCAACTGACTTGAAGAACTGCCTGAAGAAACATTTCTGCAACATTATAGAATAATAAGTCATAATAAAACTGAACCAAGATATATAACCTCTATGAATTTATTTGAAAGTGAAAAATTATAGCATCTAATGTAAACTTTATTTTATTTTATTTTATTTTTGTATATCAAAGGATTAGTTGTGTGGCATTATATAGGTTTGAATCTTTAATTTTAATCTTCAATTAAGATTTTTAAATTAATAGAAACCAACTCAACTAAGTTCTTGTTAGTAATAAACTTTAATGTTCGAAAATCAGGCAACTTACTATCCAAAGTTGAACTGATGTTTCTGTACAAGAATTCACATGTCTTCTTCCAAATGTTGTCTGTCTTGTGAATCTAAACCGATCAGGATCTAGAAATATCGAAAATAATTAGAGAAAAAAAAAAAAAAAGGCTAACATAGGCTTATAAGAGATGATGTATCAGTTTTCTCTCTTTTTTTTTCTTTTTTTTTTTGTACTGCGACCTGTGCATCTTATAGATTAGTCTTTCCAGTTTAAAATGAAGTTGGAGCTCCCACTTTTTTTATCTCTGCCACACAATACATATTTAGAACCGTATAAGGCTTAGAAATATCAAATGAATGGTAAGACTAGTCTCGACCATAGACTTTTATACTTGAGAAAAAGAGAGTAGAAAATGAAGAAACTTTATAATTATATATCTCAGACATACCATTGGCAACTTGGTATTCAGTTGTTTGAGTTTCTTTCTCCCATGCTTCCCAGCGCCTCATCTGTGCATATTATTTCATACGAGTAAAAGTATGATATCAAGAACTAGGAATCATTTCAGCTAAAAATTAGGTAACACCGCATTAAAGTAAAGGTTATCACCTTTGCTCTTCCCAGAGCCATGGTAAGCACACTATACACAATCTGCATGACTGCTAGCACAAAGATGAACATATGTAGCTGTTGGACCCCCTGTCGTGTCACTAA